TTCCCTACAAGACGCTCTTCCGATCTCCCCAAAACCCCAAAACCCCATAAGTAAGATTGTTATGAGAATAATTGTTAAAGTTAATAAGAATTAATAATAAGTAATTTAAAAATGAAAAACAACAACTTTGGAACTGATGGAAATGAGCTTGATGGCAATATCAAGATGGGAGATAATGAAGAATACGATCAGCCCTTAGCTAAGTAAACTAAATAGCCGACTACTCAACCACCACCACCATAATAAAGAAGACCTTTAGTTCCACCAGAATTCAGAGGACTAAATACTTTAGATGAACCAGTTTGCCAGACAATAGTAATTCATTATTTTCTCATAAGGAAAAATTTAGAAAAGAGATCTCGCAAAGATTTGGTATAAATTAAGAGTCGTCATTAATCCAATTACACCATTCTTATCAGATGATAAGAGAAAAGAGATTAGAAATTGTATAATATTACAGTTAAATTTAAAACTAATTATTAGGGGATCTTTGGGGACCTTTCATCTTTTGTCTTATGCTTGCAGTGTAAGTTTATAAATTTATAATTTAATCAATTATAGTACATTGAGTTCAGCAACAAATGCAGATGATAAGACTTTACTCTTTGAAATTGTTTTTATCATTGTTTGGGTTGGAGCAGGTGTAATCTCAGTTAATGGTCAACTTCTTGGTGGGAAAATGTAAGATATCAAATAGTCATATTATCTATTCCCTTTCTATATTATTTCTGATCTAACTCTAATAATTATAGTTCTTTCTTCTAAAGTGTGTGTCTTCTAGGATATTGCTTATTCCCCTTAAATATTGCAGCTCTAATAAATCTAGGAATCGGATCATCAATTCACATTTTAATAAAACTTGCTTACGTAGGACTTGCATTCATTTGGTCCACTTATTGTAAGACTTAAATTTTTCATAATTGATTTTTTTATAGCCTCTGTTCACTTCATAAAAGAAATGGTTCCACCTGACAGAAAAGCTCTCGCTATGTACCCTGTATTCCTATTCTACTTGTTCTTGTCATGGTTCATCATTCTATGATTTCTGCTGCTTAATATACACTACTAAATATTTGGCTTTCTTAATTTTTAATTCCTATGTATTTCTTAATCCCATTGACTTATAAATTCTAGTCACTCGGGGTTTTGGGGTTTTGGGGTTTTGGGGTTTTGGGGTTTTGGGGTTTTGG